TCTCCCTTATGACCGGCCTTGTCTTTGTTATTGGGCTAATTGCCCATTTTGTTTTAGTTGTCATACAACTTAAACATAATGAGCTTTGTGGACCAAAACACTTTTGGGCCTCGAAACCCAAAACCAACTTAAAGGCCCAATACGAACCTTTCGTAAAATTAATTAACTAATTAATTAATCTTGACCATTTTCAATTAAACCATTTAATTGCATATCCATTTCATTTATATTTCTTCACTTTCATCCTTACTCGGTGTACGATCTATTAGGTTCCAATTAGCGAGGCAGTGGGCGATTGTTACTCTTAACGATCGATTATGAATTGAAACTACATTTCAATTCTCCCTTTGATTAAGATTAGTGTTTGCTAATCTTCAGGGCTTCCACAAACCATGAGTGACACCTAGCAGCATGTCATGGTTACCCAAGCTAAGTAGAAGTGGTTGGAGAACCTATCCAGTTACAACTACAACGCAATACGGTCATTCTCTAATACAATACTCTTAATCACATTGTTTGAGTGATAGTTCATTTCATGTCTACTATCCAATGTGATACTTCTCTATATGATTCAATTGAATATGATTTGGAACAAACTTCCTAAGTCATATTCATATGCTTTGGCCAAAGACTCCCGAATCATATCTTAGAGTATTCTCCTTCCACCATGGAAGGTTAGAGATCCCTTGTTGTGCATTCATATGCCTACATGACTAGATAGCTTGACCCCAACAATGTCGTGGACACTCTCGATGGAATGTCTTTGACATGATCAAAGATTAAGACCTAACCATTAGACATCTATGATGCCTCAGGTCAAAGGACTACTTTGCATATTGCAACTTACGAGTTCTTACATGACATGTATGTTCAAACTCTCTTTTGATCGTTATTCAGTGTACTTGATTACTCTTTCAAGCACCTATGTGTTTGTCTTAGTGTCCAACACTAAATGACTTGAGACTAGTCATACTCATGCTTGAGTTGACATAACACATACTAACCTTAGCGGATTGTCAATGCCCAATTGGCAATCCTATGGCTAGGAACGTTTTAGGAATGAACATAAGAGAAAGGTCTCGTTAATCTAACTTACTTAAATCACTTCTCTCTTAGATCAAATACATTCCTTGGATTCCCTTATTGCTTAAACACATGATACAATAAATAGTGATTAACAATAAGCTTTGCCCTTCATTAAACATATAATAGTTTAATACAATAAGTATTCTAAAAACTATTACATCAAATGAGTGGCTTTGTGGGCATACTTCCAACAGTCGGGGTTGGTCAATGGATCTTCAATGCCCATGTTGGTTTTCTATCTAAATACCAAATTTAGTAGAGATGGATAGGAGGAGGTGGCCGACCATAGTGTTAGGAAGTAACCCTACGCATGGTAGCATCTTATTGACCAAGGTGTGTCATCCTTTGGACGAATGACTGTTCATTGTCTCTTGACTGTTGTTGCTGTTCATAATTGGTATTTGGCCAAATGGATGTGCAAAATGCATTTTTCCATGGTACATTGCATGAAGTAGTATATATGTTACCACCTCCTGGGCGTGGACGGGGGAAGACCATGGTTTGTCAACTCCGCAAGTGTTTATACAGACTCAAATAGGCCTCTCACAGCTAGTTCCAATGATTCTCATCTGCCATTCAAGAAATTAGTTTTCGATAGTCATGTGCTGATTACTCGTTGTTTACTTAGGTTCGTGAAATTCTATTACTTGGTGTTACTTTACGTTGGTGACATGATCATTACAAGGAATGATGAAGAAGCAATTAGTAATCTCAAAAAGTTTCTCAGAGGTTGTTTCCAAATTAAAGATCTCATACCATTGAAAATACTTCCTTGGCATAGAGTTGCCCGTTCTAAAGTGGGAATTTCCATTTATCAATGCAAATTAGACCCAGCAGTTTCTGACACGACGTGAAAATAACAGATTTCGGATCAACACGATAACTAATCAGGTCATTATTGGGTGACCCATTAAGAACCCGTTAATAACAGGTTCTTAACGGGTATACACGCAAGTAACACGTGGGTAACCTGTTTCGACCTGTTAAGAAAAAAATTATACTTAACATGTTGTCCAAAATTAAAATTAACTAGTATAGAAGATAGAGAAATTAAAAAAAAGTTTTAGTCATTATAAGTTAAAAAAAAAGTTTTATTCTATATAAGTTAAAAAAAAAGTTTTAGTCATTATTTATTTTTATTATGAGAGTTCCTTATTATCATTACTAGGATAAATTTTACTTAACATGCTGTCCAAAATTAAAATTAACTAGTATAGTATTTGTATAGGTAAGAACTAAGAAAACATACATACAAGTATGAAAAATGTGAAAGAATATATAAACACTCGTGATTCATCATTATTCCTCCACGAGTAGATAATGGTTACACTTATATTATCGTTTAGATTTTTAAAATCCTCCAAACCCTCATGAATAATGTTTTTTATTTGAGGGAAAAATTAATAATAATTATTGTTGAAGTGTAAAAAAGGTAAAAAAAAATATACAATCACTCATAGTAACAAGCTTTACAACTTTCATAAAGGGGTCAGCTTTGAAATCCAACATTATAATCCATAAACCTTAAATTTATATTTAACCGTCGATTGTCATTTATGCTTTATTCTTCTTACTGAACGATTTAGATCTTTGATATCACGTTTCGATATTTACGATTAACTGGAATATGAGTTGATGTCATATAGTTTGTAGAAACTTTATAAACATTAAGCAATATTTTCACTAATCGTAAAACTTTGAATATAATATCAACGATCTAGACCGTTCATCTTCATGCATCCTCAAATATATCATGTTTTCAAAAAAGAAAATCTGAAGAAAAAAAAATTGAGAACAATGAAGCGTAAATGTAAACAACAATCAACGGTTAAATTTTGATCTATGATTTATATGATTATAGTGCCAAATTTCAAAGTTAAGCTCTTCCTGAAAGTTGTAAAGCTTGTCATTACGAGCGTTTATATATATTTTTTATATTTTTTACACTTCTACATTAATTAAAAAACTATTAAAGATTTTACTTAATTAATTAAGCTATTAATTCATTTATACCCATTTTGTTTCAGAAGCAATGGATGCTAGAGATTCAGATTCAGTAAATCTTAGTGATGAAGAGTTCGTGGAGATTATAATGGGAACAAAACGAGATCTCAGAAGCGAAAGTATAGACAATACAAATACGAGGCTTGCAAAGAAAAAGGCTAGAGCAATCAATTTAGGTAAGCGAAAATATACTTAAAAGAAAATTGCGTTTTTATGTTTTGGATGTGACAATATGGTATGTATATACTTATTTAGTATTATATTTTTCATTTGATTATTTATTGGTTTAAAATATATTTTCCTTAACAGGTAACGGGTTGAGTCATATTATCTGTTAATATATCGGGTCGATTTCGGGTCGAGTCATTTTACCCGTTTATTTTAACGAGTGTTACACGACATGACCCGTTAAGATATCAAGTATGACACGAACATTGAAAACACGACACGAATGCCAGGACTAATGCAAATATACACTTGATATATTGGAGGAAGCCAATTTACTTGGAGCAAAACCCGCCAAAGTACCTATGGAACCTGATTTGGTATTGACGACAACAAGAAGTGATGCTCTCAAGGACGCAACTTGATATCAACAATTGATTGGGAAATTGATCTATCTTACAATCACTAGCTAGAAATTATGTATGCAGTGAACACTCTTAGCCAGTTCATGCAAGAACCCAAGCAACATCATCTTAAGACATCACACCCCATTCTCTAGTATCTCAAAAGAGCACCAAGACAAGCCTACTGTTTTCTTCACAAAAACCAACTCAACTTGATTGGTTATTGTGATATGGATTGGGCTAGATGCCTGATCACACGCCAATCAGTGACGAGCTATTGTTTTTTTCTTGGTAAGTCGCATCATGGAAAAGTAAGAAGCAAGTCACAGTTGCAAGATCTTCGGCAGAAGCTTAATATCGCTCCATGCTCCAACCACTTGTGAACTCACTTGGTTGAGATACTTATTGAAATATTTGCATGTACCCCCATCTTAAGCCAGCAAGACTGTTTTGTGATAATCAAGTTGCCTTACACATTGCAGCAAACCCAATATATCATGAGCCGACGAAACACATAGAATTGGCAAGTGAGTTCAAAAGGGATAAGGCAAGACCAATCATGTGCAAACAGGAAATCAAATAGCTGACATGTTTACAAAGCTGCTAAGAGCACCTGTTTTCTACTCACATCTTAGCAAGTTGGGTGTTATTGCCATCCACACTCTAATGTGAGGGGAGTGTTAAAGGAAATAAAATAGTCAACGATTTGATATGATTGAGAGTGCTTGAAGGAGCAAAAATCTTTTTTGGAGTGGTTGTAGGAGATGACTGTAACTAGCATAAGATTAGCATCAGTTTGCCTAGAATAGCTTCACATGCTCTTGTATAATTGAATTTCTTAAACCTCCGTACAGTTTCAACAATGCAATACAAATATATTCACATAACAATTTCATAGAAGGTGGCGGAGAGTGAGCGACTGAGCGGTTGAGATAGGGTCTTGGAAGATTTGCCCTAGTGTTTACGGACCATGAAGCCCATAATTTAATAACCTTTTTATTTTTTTAGAAGTTGTTTGATGATCATTTCGTTTACCTATTTTAATTTTAATTTTAATTTTTTTGTAAATTGAAAACTAATTAGGTATTCTTTTTAATAAAGTTTTCGAATAATATACATTTGTGTAATTTATCTACCAGACCCATTATGTATTTTACTAACTATGGTAATTGCTTAAAATTAAAAATTAAAAACGAAATGATTATCGAAGGATGACGATGTTTCAATTTTGGGTTTCCAATGGAAAATTAAAAAAAGAAAAAAGCAAAATAGATTTGGCAAAACGACCCCGTATAACTAGTGTAGCCTCCAAATATAATCCAATGGCAAATATAAGACACGGACGAGTATATACCTTCGTAGAAAAGAATTCAGAGGTCGCAGAAAGAGCAATGGAGGAAGAGGAGCATGAGGTGTACGGAGCAGAGATCCCAGACGAAGGAGAATTGGACGGCGACATGGACGCTCATCACGCCGACGTTGACATGTCCACCGCGGACGTCGCCGCCGTAAAGGTACTCATTAAAACCCTAGAAATTCAATTTGTTTCAACAACCAAATCGTAAAACACAATTGTCAAATTAAGTGGATTTGATTTTGTATTGTAGGAGCTGGACGAGATGAAGAAGCGGTTGAAGGAGATGGAGGAGGAAGCTGCTGCTCTTCGCGAGATGCAGGCCAAGGTTGAGAAGGAAATGGGCGCTGTTCAAGGTTCCCCTCTCTCTCTCTCCTGAACAAGTAATTAATTTTTTGGTTCTTGAATCCTGTAGTTACTGAAACTGAAAGAGGGAGGTTTTTGAAATATATGGTTTGTAAAATGCTGTATTTGACCATGTTCTATTGAATGTTTATAGAAAATCTGTAGTGCATATCATGAAATTTGAAAAATATAGCACAAGGGTTTAATTATGCGCTGCGCTAAGTGTGTTTTGAAGTGTGTTATGCTATCAGCGTTTTGATAATTACACTCTTATTGTCCTGTGGAGTTTAACATTTTTATGTTTGTTTTTTCGTGTGACTTGCAAGGAATTTTGGTTTAACTTCTTTTGAGTAACATGCTCATTTACCTATGTGTCGTTATTGGTTCCACATAGATCCTGCAATTGCCGCTGCTTCTCAAGCAAACAGAGAAGAGGTGGACGCACGTTCGGTTTTTGTTGGCAATGTAAGTACCAGAATGTTGAAATCTCTTACTCTTTCTGAAGCGTTTGCATTCTGTGCATTTAAGCTTAGATCTGTCTACTTCTCTAGTCCTAATGGCCATGTTGCCCTGCGTTCGGCATTTTTTGATCTATGTCGACAGCCCACTCATACTTCTGACACTCGGCTGTTTATAGAGAAATCCTCCAGTTTGTCATGTTATCTTTGTGTGAAGTTGCATAGTGCAAGTAAACATGTGGTTTTGGCAAGTCCACCACTAGATTTTATATATCAATTTAGTTTTTCAGTATCAAAATTAAGAGGATATTCTTTATGATTTGACCAGATTTTTGGTATCTCTATCTAGTGTTAGTAATGTTGATAGGCCATTGATATCTGCATTTTTGTTTAACCTTTGTATGGTAGTAGTGTTGATATTTATTAAAATGCACTCATGGAATTAAATTAGGGAGCTGCTAATTGAACTTCTAAAAGTCATCATGCACTGCTCTGTCAAGTAAAATATAAAGAATGGGGGAGTGCAAGATGGCTATTTTGGAGTGCTAATGGGGATTCCCTTAATTTTATTATCACCTCTGGATATGAAAGGATTTAAAGGAAATAGTTACTTAAATAATGCTTGTTTTTTACTATAAAATAACTTTTATATCAATCAGGATATGAGAATGTTTTGTGTTGGGACTCATACATCACTGTACAATCTAAAGGTACCCTCACATTACAATCTATCTAGAATTTGGAAATACTTTAGCCGTAATGTCATATGAATATATTAGGTCAAGATTTTTCAAAACTCTCTAGATCTGTAATTCAATAATCTACATATCAATGGGTGCTTAAGCACTGCCCAATCTATATTTGATTCTAGTTTTGTTAAAACCCAAGAAATAACAAAACCCACAACCTAACAGTCTGTATGAACTCGTGCTTTATGCATTAGTTGATCAACACGCCATGGCTTAACATTATTTATGCGCTTCTTTATATTTACATTTACCTAGTCCTCAATGAAAGCATGCATAATTTTTCACAAGATATATGGTTTTAAAAAGGACAAAGCTTTGCACCAATGTATATGAAGGATGGGAAGAGATATTTGAAGGATGATGGAATTGTAAAAGAGAAGAAAGACAGAAGGAGAAATAGGGGGAAGTAGGGTGAACTCAATTCTTTTTTGTTTTCAATCACAAGGGTAAATTCAATTCTTTGTTATCAAACCAATGGACCAAAAACGTACTACAAGACGACCCATATATAGGCAATCGGTAGTTGGAAAACCTGAAATAACAAGGATAACAAACTACTGTAATAGCTTAATAATATATGGTCATAACTGCTATTGCTTCACATCCACAATGTTTCATTTCTTAAGTAGGTTCTTTTCTAATTTGTTAGTTTTGTAGACTTTTACCACTTCTGCGATCTATAAGATTTCAATTCAAAACATCAGATATTGCTATGTCTTTGTTATTTTATATTTCAACCCGTAATCATATATCATGACGGTACTCTGAATTTTGCTAGTCCTTTTTCATTTTTTTTTTTTGTGTTTTTCTTTTGCCTTTGTCGTCTTCTTTAATTTTTACTTTGGAACATAAAAGAGAAAGTAAGGGGTTAACCTCCTCAATTGTACTACTCACTTAAGTTATCTTTCTATTTTACTCTTATGTGGATGTGGATGATGCCCAACTTCAGAGTCATGGTTTGACCTTATGTTGTAAAATGATCGCAGGGTCATTGTTTTTCATCAAGTTCTGTGTATGAGCTGGACATGTTACACTGTAGTTTGAGGGTGGCTCAGAGTATTCTGATGTATAATTAGGCTGTCATTTTAGGGACACGTTGAATTTAAAAAAAAAAAAAAAAAAAAAAAAAAGAAGAAAAAAGAATTACAAAAGTTGAATATGGGAGGAAGAAAATATCAAATAAAAAAAGAAACAAAGAAAAATTTGGAAAAGGTGAAGAAAAAAGCATGAAAAGAAAAAGAAGAAAGAATTAGAAAAAAGAAGAGTGCATTTGGAAAATTACAACAGTTAGTTGTAGGGGATATGATGTATTGAGGAGGAAAGAAGGGGTGAAATTTGCTGAAGATATTCCAAGTGAAGGCTGGGGCACGCGGTAGGATGTGAATTTAGATGCTGGATCTTCAGTATACAAGAGGCCAGCAACTCTGTTTTGAAGAGCAAAGGAAAGTCGTGTATTCAATTCTAGTTGTAGAGCTTCTCTGCTGCTGGAATGGTGTTGGTTGGTGGCTCAGGAATATGTGTCCATGTACTTATGTGGTGAGGGGTACATGATTCTGCTTCTCTATATTGATTGAGATAGATTTTCTTATCTGTCGACTACATTCACCCAAATTTTTGAGTGTGACTTTCTTCTTCTCGTAATATTTTTATAAATTCTGTTTACCTTAGAATTTTTTTTCACTTGCTTGTGTGCCTCACCCATGGTCCTATGTTATAATTTTAGTGGAGAGTGTACAGGATAGCAGCTTTCTGTGTTACATTGATACGACTTATCCATGACTTTTCTTCATCTCGTGCAAAATTTTGTTGGAAGTAGTAATTGAAATAATACCAAGACTGTAGGATGCAGAAAGCTCCGTCTTCTCAAGTTACCAGGCTTACAGGGACTAAACATTCATTGGAATGTTGGATGGGGATTATGTTTTTATGTGCCATGTATAATAAAATTTGACATGGAATTCTTCTTTGCCTAAAGAAGTTCTTTGTTAATTCAGCTAAGTACTGCAGAAAGTGCTTTTGGTATTTAGAATGCCCTGACGCTTTTAAAAAAACTTTCAAACACACTCAGTTGTTCTCAAGGCCAAAGTATCAGCTGAGCTTTATTGTTTCTTTTTTGGTCTTGAGGGCACTTCCATGTGTTGTCGTGCGTGTTGTGTCTTTGGCTGACTCAGCTTTGTCTTCAAAAACTGGATAAATCATGTTTTGTAGGTTGATTATGCATGCACACCTGAAGAAGTGCAGCAGCATTTCCAATCATGTGGTACAGTCAATAGAGTGACTATACTGACAGATAAGTTTGGCCAACCAAAGGGTTTCGCTTATGTGGAATTTGTGGAAACCGAAGCTGTTCAAGAGGCTCTCGGCCTAAACGAGTCTGAGTTGCACGGCCGGCAATTGAAGGTAACTCGTCAGAAAGCTGGGCATGGATGTTCTTATCCATTATTTTTGTTATCGCATTTATTCATTTTCTTCTTAATATATATGTCTATAGGTTTTGCCGAAAAGGACGAATGTTCCTGGTATGAAGCAATACCGGCCAAGACGCTTCAATCCTTACATGGGTTACCGCTTCAGGAGGCCATATGTACCTCCTTACTTCTCGCCCTATGGATATGGGTATGTTCCTTCCAGTGCTCTTACTCTATTTATTATCAAAATGAGGTGCCTGATGTATCTTGCTTTCTTTTCCCTTTCTTCCATCTGCAGGAAGGTTCCGAGGTTCAGAAGGCCAGCTCGATACATGCCGTATTACTAGAAGATTGGTTGCATCGTGGACTAGCGTATGCATCTGGCTGAAAGGATTCGTCATCTAATACAAGGCCTGTCGTTTAATATTGTAGTTGAGTTTTAGTTTTGACCTGGTAGCTCTATCGATGTGCCCTTATTGCTAAAGTGCACTTTGAACTGTATGTCTAGAACGCCTATGTTGCGGTTGAGGGTTATGCACGTGTGCCATATGAAGTAGCTAATAAAAGTTTCTTATTGGCCAATAATGCAATGCATGGTCTATAATTTCTTCCATCGATGTTGGCAACATCTTTCGTATGCCTCAAAAATGGTGGTTTCAAGGGTAGCATTACTAGAGATATACTAGGATTGGCTTAGTCGTTCACATGCGCATCGGTCGGTAGGTCTCATTCGTTCACACGCATGTGGGCGACTGAACCTAGCACTCATTGGGATTCCAGTGAGAGCATTTAGTTGTGAGCCTAGTAGTGCGTTTGTGTCGAGTGGTGTGTGTGTGGTGTATGTGTTATTCGTGGCTTTGTACATTCAAGTCATTTATACTCATCGTGTCCTTCACTCCAACTTTCCTTTTCCTTTGTTAGATGTAGGACCCCGCCTAAACCTTAAGATCGATGGAGTTTTGTCGACAAAAAAAAGGAAGGTGTGATGGATGGAGTCGAACATTTTTTTGTTTTGATGAGCCAACGTTATAAGCAATTCTCTGTAGGCAAATATTGTCTATTCTCCCCAAGTAGGCAATAATAAATATTATTTGGTTTGCTTAGTTCATTGGAGTAGGCTACAATCAGCCTGTATAAATTAATACAATTTTGCTTGGATTGTATACCAATGAAGATGGATATGTTCTTTCCTAATATGTTGTTTTTACGTTGTCATATTTCACACGGCTAGTCTTAGATTCAATTTCTGAAATTGGTGAATCACACGATGGTGGCCAGAAGAGGCTAAAATGCCTCTATAAATCTTTCTAATCCTTGAAAAGAAAAACTGTCGTGACTTTATCACCAACTAATCTCTTTTTTAAGAAAAAATAAATAAACATCGACTAAAACAAAACATGGAATAAAAAACGTGACCAAAAGTGAAGTTTGGCATTTGTTATTTAGGGGTTTAGCTTACTTAATAATTTAACCATGGGTGAATGCTAGATGGCCAGAACAAAACAAAACAAAGAAAGAAATCCTTAAATAACGAAACAAAGGTTGAGCTACCGGTGCCCTACCTGTATCTATCTACAATAAGACGAACAAACCAACCAGAATATGTAGTTAGATGGGCACGTGAGTTATACGCATATGGGGGTTTCAAGTTGAACCAGCTAGTTAGGGTTTTCATTCAACTAATTAGGGTTTCACGAACAAACCAACCAGAATATGTAGTTAGATGGGCACGTGAGTTATACGCATATGGGGGTTTCAAGTTGAACTAGCTAGTTAGGGTTTTCATTCAACTAACTAGGGTTTCATCTACCTCTTCCCCTGGTGGCCACAACTAAGTTACTAGTGCTAGATCTCTTGACTCCTAACAGTTTAAGGTTACATCTCTCACCGACCAAGAAATTTAACATGTACCTAATTATAGAGAGCGCCTTTCATCGACAAACAACTTTGTACAACTAACTCAGCATTGTATTTTAATAATTTGAATGGTTCCATTTTTTAAATAGTTTTCATGAATAATTTCTTGCAAGGATGAGTTTTGAATAAAGAAAATAATTTGGATCATTAAAACAAGATTTGAACGAATTTGACAATTATGGGTTACATATGTTATTGACCAAGAAATTTAACATACACACGTAGGAAAAGTGACTTTACTTGAAAAACATTTTGTAACACTCACTCAACAATCTATCTCATTGATCTAACAATGTCATTTTCTAAATCTTTTTCTTGAGTAGATTCTTACGACCACCATCTTTTAGAGTAATGTTATATTTACCACCTAATTATACCATCATTTGTAACATCTCTAATGAAAATAGGATCCGCTAATGTATGTAAATTTCATCTTTATTAGAAAGATGACACAAACGATGATACAATTAGGTGGTAAAAGTAGCATAAAAGTGAAACGTTGCCCCAACAGAAAGAGAACACGTGTGTGCATATGTTATGCGTGGCACCGCACGCACTTCGCAAGGGTACGTGTGCAGTGCAGATGTCTAATTTATAATTTAATTGCTTGTTGAGCTTTTGGACTATATTTCTGAACTTGTATTTTTTTATATTCAAATTTTAAAATGGTCCAACGATGATTTTCAATATTTATTATACACATGCGAGGCCTTCGTTTAGCCCTTACATTGACGATTTGGATCCCATCAAGATCCAAATTATGGAGATTATAGGGATTCTCATATTTTAATCATTTATCATGTATCATGCGGTCCGAAATCATTTAATTTTTTTTATTTAAAATAAAACACAAATAGTACCTAACAAAAACTAATCATACGATATACAATGAACGGTTAGGAGATGGGGATCCCTAAGATTCCACAAAGTGAATCCGAAAAGGATCCTCTTCCTTAAATTAATATCTAGATCTAGAAAGATTGCTACTTGCCTACCAACTCAACAAAATCATTCACCATACATCAAAATATGAAAAATAAAATATAAAGAACAATAAGACGAGTAGGTCGCGTGAAGAACGTGGGTTAGTTGTATGCATTATACATCGATTGTATGAGGAACAAACCCCTGGACACAACATTACTATCACAAAACTGATTACAAGAATGACATGCAGAGCGTTGAATGTGAGACTATGAGGTGTTTGTATACACCAGTTGTATCGATACGGCAGTGTGCGTTAATCAATCATGGGCACCATCAAAATGAGAACTTTCTCTCATATCACTAGTCATATGATGGAAGAGATGAACACAAAATTGTATATACCATAAGCACTATTTTAGAAATTTCCATCCAGCGCCTAGGCATTAGGCGGCTGGTCACTGTCCCGATTAATCTCTAGGCGTTTAAAATTTAAAAAAGTGTGTCTACACCTACTTAGGTGCCCGTCTAGACCGCCTAGGCGCCTGGCTAGCCCGCCCAGACCCTTATGGGCATCTGCCTAGGTCGCGACTCTCACTTAGATATAAGATATATAACTTTAATTTTGCATTGTTGTGGTCTATTTTATTTGATAATATTTAGGGTGGCCGGCGGCAAGGAGAAGAGAGAAAAGAGAGATGTGTTTATGGAATTGTAGGGGAATGTGTGTGTTTTGTTATCCCTCCTACATTGTATCTTTATTTATAGTAGTAGAAGGAGAGAATATATTCCTTCTTCCCCAAGTAATACAAGTTGTAATAGGAAATGATAACTAGAATCAAATATAATCTAGGATTTACACAATCACACTTAAACTAAGAATGTTTACAACACTCCCCCTTGAGTGTGTAAATACTCAAGGTAGATTGAGTATCATGCAAAAGTTGAGGAAGTTGACTCATCGGTACTCATTCCAAGGAACAACGCTTATTCTCAATAAGGTAGGAACTTGCATAAGCAGTAAGTCTCACTAAAAAACCCTAAGGCTATGGAAAACACCCAAGGAGGGAAAAAATCCATAGTCTAAGGAAAAATGCGTGAGAAATGCAAAAGTCAAAGAAACTTCTACAGGATGTCATCAGGGATATGACCAGCCCAAGGTGGGTGCCTCGTTAAAACCTAGTTAGGTGGCAAAAACTCAGTGGGAAAAATGCTCCTAATCGTAGGGAAAAAGAGTACATTAAGATCAAGCAAGTATCTACAGGATACGCTTCCTGAGTTTGACATAATTCCAAAGAGAACTAGTAAAGTTACAACTCAAAAAGTTTACGCATACCAATTCCATGAACAAGTTTTTGAAACGTCGTCTTCGGCAGTGATTTGGTGAAGAGATCGGCCAGATTGTCTTGTGAACGAATTTGCGTGACTTCAATCTTCTGATGTTCTTGTTGTTAGTGTGTAAAGAAGAACTTCAGCGTAATGTGATTGGTGTTGTCTCCTTTGATGTAACCCTTCTTGAGTTGTTCGATGCAAGCTGTGTTGTCTTCAAAGATCGTTGTCAGGACATCAACGGCAGGATGAAGATCACAGGAGCTTCGAATATGGCCCACTACTACTCTCAACCAAAAGCATTCCCGAGTTGCTTCATGTAAGGCGAGAATTTTAGCATGGTTAGACGAAGTGGCAACTAAGGTCTGTTTAGTTGACCTCCAAGATATTGTGGTGCCTCCAACAGTAAAGACATAACTCGTTTGAGAGCGCACCTTGTGCGGATCAGATAAGTATCTTACGTCAGCATAACCAACAAGGCGAGGATCAACTCGAAGAGCATAGGGTGCGACATCATTCAAGGATTCGTAGGGATAGAACAAGCCCAAATCCGTAGTACCCTTAAGGTAACGGAAGATTTCTTTCACGCCAGTCCGATGTCTACATGTAGGTGCATTACTGTATCTTGCCAAAAGATTAACAGCGAAGGAGATGTCGGGTCTAGTGCATTGATTTAAGTACAATAAAGCACATATCGCACTTAGATAAGGAACTTCAAGCTCCAAAATCACTTCATCATCCTCCTTTGGACGGAAAGGATCTCATTTTGCATCTAGCGAACGAACGACCATAGGAGTACTAGAAAACTTCATTTTATCCTCATTAAAGCGGCGCAACATCTTCTGGTGTAGTTCGATTGATGTACTAGAATTCCATCCGAGCAATGCTCTATCTCGAGACCGAGACAGTATCGAGTCTTACCTAGATCTTTCATCTCAACTTACGACTTTAGGTGCGTGGCAGTTTTCATGACCTCTTCAGGAGTTCCAATAAGATTCATGTCATCGACATATACTGCAACAATCGCAAATCCGAAATGTGACTTCTTAATGAACACACAAGGGCATAGTTCGTTGTTCACATATCCCTGACTAGTCAAATAGTCACTTAGACGGTTATACCACATTCTTTCGGATTGTTTCAAACCATAGAGCGAACGCCTCAGCCGAATTGAGAGCATGTTCCGGGGTTTGGAAGTATTTGAACCAGTCAATGCAAGTCCTTTGGGAACTTTCATATAGATTTCCGTATCAAGATCCCCATAGAGATACGAGGTTACTACGTCCATCAGCTGCATATCCAGTTTTTCGAAAACTACCAAACTGATAAGGTAGCGAAAAGTAATCACATCCATAACGGGTGAATAAGTTTCGTCATAGTCAATCCCGGGGCGTTGTGAGAAGCCTTATGCAACAAGATGAGCTTTGTAATGCACAATTTC